GGAGAGAGGAGAAGTGGGAGAGCAAAGGAGATTATAAGGGAGAGTAGAAGGAAGGGAGGAAGGAAGACAATGTAAGGGGAAGGAGGTGGAAAGATGGATGAATGGGAGGTGGATGGTGAAATGTGAGGACTCCTGATGGCGGCTTAAGTCGCCTTTACTTCGAGGTGGGCACAGGTGACATCAGCGGTCTCCCATCAGTGAAGGGGAGTCCCTCAAATACCTTGTTAGACGACAAAACATGTGCCAATCTTGCTTAAAGAAAAGTAAGTGACATCATATAAACAACAGTTCCTTAACAATTCCGTAATTAATTCTTGACCTAATTACTCATTCTAAACTTTCCAAACGGAATCATCAGCATCTACTCAATGTTTAATTTATGTCCACCCTCTTCGGTATCCGTTCTCCTTTGACGGACGTAATTAAATGGTGGAAAGTCGCATGAAAAATGAAAAGAGCATTTGTGAAGGCAGTTGATTCCACCCGAGGGATGAAGTCATGCTCAACCCAAGGGACTGTGGGACCTCATTATTCATTCAGACACGCAACTATTTTGCAGACACTTTGCCATGCCTCTCTTGGGAAGGAGGGAGGGGGTGGGAGAGGTCGAGTTAATGGAATTCACTTATTTATCTTGGTGTTTAATTGTTTTCTTAAAAATACATGGCATTTTAGTTGCTTGCTCAATTCCCTCACTACGACGAAAGGAGGCACATCTACCATTTTTTTATGGACAGCAGTCAACACTTGTCACCGATGATTTATGACTTCAAGACATTTTTAGTCTTTTAAAAATCTTGTTCAAAATGGAAAAGGGATTAAAATGGGATAAATGATCCATGAAGCTCCAAGTATACGATCGTCATTTGTCAAGTCACCTGTCGATTGGAAGATCTACTTTCTACTCTCGCACTAGCTCTCTTCTACACTGGTGTGATCAACGGATTTGAAGAAAAAAGTCATTCAACCATCACTGTCTTTGTCAATCTCAAAAAAAGGCACTGGAGGGTGAGGGAAGGTGGTGATTAACTTCCCATAAAGGCATAAGACCATTGCGCAGCCTCTTTATTGCGATTTAACTAGTAGAGTTTAGCTCTCACTGAGGTTATTAAATAAGGATTTAGCGATACTTTTGGAGATGGAATAGCCATAACCGCTTCCAAATTTTGTTCTGAGTCTACGAGAAGTTAGTCATCACCCACACTAGATGCCTCGTCTTCCGATATGCTAAATTCCCACAGCTGTCAAATGTGTGACTTGTTTAACGCAGTTGTTCTCGACGCACTGGTACAAAAGAAGAAAAACGGTGCACAAATAAAATACAAAGGAACTACAAATATTTAACCCTAACTGAGGCGCCTTTATAAAACAACAACCAGTTTTGCTGAGGTCGTTTCATCCATATACTACTAACATAATTAAAGTATGACATCTACATGTCCCACTACAACTCTTTTATTTTTTTCTTTTTTGGTAAATGAAAACTACTCCGTTATCTTCTAGTTCGTAGGTGTGATCCATATCCCGATTAAATGTGATAATAAAAGCAAGTTAGAGGGTGCCAATTTGAGCATACCTCAAATTCAGTAGTATTGGTGAAAGTCAATGAAAAGCAATCACGCGCAGGAATATTTTTCTCTGTAGATGTAGGCTATGGAAGTGAAGAATTCCTGTTTGTGAATTCGATTGTGGTTGCAATGCATAGGGATTGTGGTGAACAAGATGATAGGAATGCAAATTCAGCAATAAAGAGAATTTGTCAATCCCAGAGGGGCTCGATCACTCAAGTCCGAAGAGAAAAGGGAAACAATTGTGCCACCTCTGAAAGTTCAAGTGGGCGATCTGTGGCAGCACTCAGTGCTTAATAATAGAGAACATAAGGTGATGTGCCACATAAGTGACAAATACTAAATTCTCTATTAAATGGCGTGGAGAGAGGGCGGATACTAAGGATAGTAGAGGAAGTTAAAGAGAACGGAACGATTCTGCTCAAATACACATCTTTACTTTAAGTGATGACTTTCCATAACCACGACGTCTGATGGCACAATGTTCCAACCTGCTGAACTCTTATTTCGGAGCTTTTGTCGGGGTGGATGGTCTGCTGGGAGGACTGACCCAAGTCAAGTGGGGCTGAGGAGGGAACGGAAGGAAGGAAGGAAGGAAGGAAATTCCTCTTTATAGGTCATTGAGCTGATCAGGCTAACATCCAATACTTTCAACAAATAGGGCGCTGTGATAGCATTTATGAGGAAAGTGAGGGATACGGGAACTGTGCTTTAATTTGGTTGTCTATTTTTACAAATTTCTGTAGAATGTAATTTCCAGTGGGGAGATATCTCATCATCAGGGATAAGCGGTTGTAATTACTTTCCCCCACTCTATCATCTCAAACCATTCTCTGTTTTGCTCAAAACCAGCCAACTTGCAGAAGCCGCATCTTGATGGCAAGTTTTACAATTTGACCTACTGACATAGCCAACGAGGTAGAAGCACGTCTAACCGTGTTCCAATGCCAGGACAGTTAAAAGTCCTTCAATAGGCGACAGAATTGATAAAACGGGCATCAAAGAGTGCTTCATCAATGGAAGTGGACTGAATTGATGTAAATCGAAATTAAAAATATCTATTTTTTTTAATGAACCAATCAAATCACACTAGAGCGATGTTCTGTTCACGAAAAAGGGGGAAGAAATGGTTTACGAAGGAGGTTTTCCTGTTCAAAATGAATGTCAATTAGGCGGAATTCAACATCTAGTCTGGTCTTTCTTTTGCCCTGTTTTCAGAGATGTTCCCCCTAACGCATTAATTTTTCGTGCATCCTCTAGGCACACTAATGAAGCTGGTCTTCCCAGAGGGTCAGTGGCGGGGAGGAGGCGATTGGAGGTAGTGGTGAATTAGTTGCGTGTCTGAATGAGTAATGAGGTACATTCCGCTTCCTCCTCCTCCACCACTTCATATACACTCAAATTGTTTCTCTACCCAGCCATGACTCAGCCTCATGGTTCTCCTGAATTTTCGAAACTATTTTATGAGACTAATACAAAGTGGACAGAACATTCGAAATTGTATACTTCGGCAAACAGTAATTTCCAGTTAATCTAAGCACAGACTTTTTGATGATTTCTAACATTATCCCCAAAACAAACTCAGAATATTAAAGAAGGATACAAAGAATGGCAGTAGAACGTGCGCGTCCACCAATTTTTAAGCCAGATTGGCACATGTTTTGTCGTCTAGCAAGGTATTTGAGGGACTCTCCTTCACTGATGGGAGACCGCTGATGTCACCTGTGCCCACCTCGAAGTAAAGGCGACTTAAGCCGCCATCAGGAGTCCTCACATTTCACCATCCACCTCCCATTCATCCATCTTTCCACCTCCTTCCCCTTACATTGTCTTCCTTCCTCCCTTCCTTCTACTCTCCCTTATAATCTCCTTTGCTCTCCCACTTCTCCCCTCTTCCCCATTTCCCCTCCCTCCCTCCATCCCTCCTCACTTTTTCATCTCGTCCCACCCTTTCCTTCTCCCTCCTCACCTTCTTCTCACTCTTTTCCACCTTCCCCTCGAAGTGAGGCCGCGTCACAAGTAAGGCTCGAAAGTACTTAGGTGGACTTGAGGGTGGTGGGACAGTGGAGGTGACGAAATGGACCGCAAGAGGACGTGGGTTGGTGCAAGGCATTGTGACAACAGCAGAAGCTATCGCCAACCAACACCACTTTGGCGGGGAGGGGTAACATTGCTCAGCGAATGCTAATGGGATTTCCCACCTTCTCGTTATGCCTTTCAGAGGTGAGTGTTGAAAACGTCTTCGTGGTGCATTTTGCACGCACGAGGAGAAGGAAGTGGGAGGGATTTGGAGAAGGGGAGCCGCAGACACACAGGTGGAGAATAACAGTGGTTTGAGATGAATCAGCGCCACCTTACGATTGGGGTCCACGGGAGTTGGAGGTGCGCATTCAGTTGGGAGGTGGATGAGGAGTTGCACCGCGTCAGGATGGGCTTTGTAGAGTGGAGTTGCCAAATGAATCGGCTTCATCAGTGCACCACTCAACCGACGGAGGAGGACAATATGAGGGAATCGGAGACGGTGAGAGTTGATGGCATGCGATGGGTGATGGAGTGGATGCATCGAGGGGTGGAGCAGAGGTGGTGCATCATCGAATCACCACAGAAACTGCAGTGTTGTTGCAATGTGATGGAGGACCGTTGCTGGACATTGGAGCGCTTGCGGTGAGCAATAAAAGAGAGGCACGAATGTGGTGATGTAAAGCTGAATTTTTGCAAATAATATGTTATGTCCTCGAACCGACTGCTTTTGTCCTATTTGCCTTCTCGTTCCACATCTCCTCCCAAAAATTCTGCTTATCTTTAATCTGCTGATTTTCTGACATCATTTGCAGGATTCATAATTCTTATGAATTTGTAACCAGCGCAAATTAACTTCCTCCTGTGGTTGTTCAGTTACTCTTTCGCTCATTACTATATTTGTCAGCTGTTCTCTCACCCGATTTTCCTTTCAATCTCTTGCTTGCTTGGTCTGTCTTCAGTCATGCACTTTATATGCATTATCTGTCCTCTCTGCTTTTCTGTCTATTTTGCGTCCGTTTCTCCTTCGCTCCCTCTAATTCGTCCTCTTTTCACCAAAAGTAGAACACTTTTTGCAGGTCTTAGCTTAGTGGCCAATCACTTTTGCCTATAATTTAATCCTCATTCCAACGTGGAGTTTGGTCTCCTACCTCAGCTGAACTTGTGAAAGTGCCTCTCCTCTTAAAGGAGGTATCAAATGGGACGAAGTAAAAGTCGGTGACCTTCCATGAATGCTGCTATCGTTCAGTTACCCAAGTCGGATGGGATGGATGATGCTGCGTTGGTAGGACAGTGATGGCACAGGCTGAGTGGAATCCAGATCACATTTTACGTTGGGGAAGAGAAAATCGGCTCTCTCATTGTTCAGTAACATCAAACTGCGATAGGTGTAGGTCTTTTCTGTCTGTTTCCCTTTCCCAACCTCCCTTCCAGCCCCAAACCAGTTCCACGTTATACGCGAAGCCCAACGAATGGTCATTGCGCATCTACTTCGGTAAGACCTCTTCAAGTTAGGGTGTCACTAAAATTGCTCCTCCAGCATTGGATTGGAAGATTACATTTGCTCAACAACGCAAATGGGCCTCCAAGTTTAAAAAAAACGGAGTATAACAAGAGGAGGAAAGTGGCACAATCCTTTCTTAGAAGAGAGGGGTGTTGGAATACTTCTTGCACATTTGCCAGACAGTTGAGTTGCACAAGTTCCTATTTATGCAGTGAAGACAAGGAAATCATCAGTGGCTCCGAACTGAAATTCATATCAATTAACCGTGTTAAATTTTCTTCCTGTAGGCAGTCTGTTAAATGTTATCAGTCGATATTCAAAGAAGATTTCTGGCTGGAGCCAATGCATTTCAGTGCATGCTAACCAGTTGTGTTGGTCCTGCCACTATTTTGACTTCAGCATCCAATCGGAGCGAAATGACAATGATGGATGCGAATAGATCGCTGCTGGACTGTGCAATGCCGACTTGAGCAGACACATCTTAAAGCTCCGCACTCTACCCATTGTGACCATCGTAAGGAGGATTGTTGCCCCCACAAAACCCTGCGTGAATGCACAGCACTTCATTCAGCAAGCACACGGCAAATGTATGAAAGTCAGGTTGCCCTCACCTCCGTGCACCCTCATCGGTATCACAATTAAAACTCTCAATGCCCACGGTAAATCAGCAACAATGTTGCCTTGTTGCCCTTTTGGTGACCTAATCAAAAGACCCGCACAACAGCTGACCCGAGGTGTCAACTTCGCATTGTTACCTTTTCGTTAACATGCAGCTCTCAAACCCACCCCAATGGGTTGTGAGGTCGAGACAATTGCGCGATTAAATGAGGTGTGGAGTCTGAAATTGAATTTAAACCATTGCTTTAATAATGCAATTATTTTTTGAGTTTGAGTGAGTCCTTCAGTCGTCCTCTCAAGCATGTCATTTGATGCGTCTGTTTTCGCGTCTTAAGACTACGACTCCACATGCCATGTGGTGGGTATCTGGATGAGAAAGGCCTTCTGGGTGCCTCCTTCGTCTCGGCGATGCGCGCCGACTGAATGATTAATGAGGCAAAGGACATGCCTTCAGTGATGCCTTTGGACTCACGCATACGAGGCACCACTGAAGCAAGACTGTTGGTTGTGGTTGTTAAAACTGACCGCTTTTGAAATGTGTATGCCCATGGGAAAAGCGTGATAGTGCTTTTAAGACCAATGCTGGACCATTTGGCAGAAGAGGTAGACAAGATAGAGTCGTGAACGAAGCAAGTCATGCCCCACTTCATTTCCCAAGAGTGGCAGTGATTCATGAAGGAAACAGTTGCCGTTTGTTGTTTGCATAAGAGTGATTCAGGCAAGATTTTTATGGTTTACTACTTGCATCTGTAGGTGAGCAGGTAACAGTCATGCGGATTCACGAAGTGTACAAATGTTTTGAGTGGGCTCAAAGTGGAAGAAAAAGTCACTCGATCAGTGACAAACAAATTCGACCTAAAATCTGAAAAAACTGTGACAGTCACCCCTTAAAATTGCCTCACAGTAAGACTGCAATTTTGGTTGGATCAGTATTTTGAGGAGAAGCATCTGACTCGAGGCGTCCTCATGCTCCCCTTTTCCAGTCCATGTGGTGTTGCAATCTTCACATCCTAGCAGACCTCCCTTTTTCTCACCTTCCTCCTTTTCCTTTTTTACCCCTAACAAACTAAGCCAAGATCCTCGCCTCTGTGCGTGAGTATTATTTTTCTTTCTGTTCGTGCACGCGTTCTTCCACTCAAGTTTGTAGATGTCCAGGTAGAACGAAAGTTGGCTGTTCTCCCGGGTCGTACAAAATAGCTCCTAGGCCTTACCATTACTCGCCCTTTATGCCCTTGGCACATTTTTAAACGACGTTAATGATTATTCTGTTAGCGGCGCTTGACAGTTATCATTAAGAAGAATGGTTGACTTAAAATAATTTTATTTTGAGGATTCAACCAACCCATAGACCCAAGAATATCATTCCAGGCCAAATCATACTTCCTCTCGTTAAAAATCCCAACTTTGTTAGCATGCACTCGCCATTTTAATCCCGGCACAAATCATACACCGTTTGCTTACTTCCCTTTCCCTTGCCTGATCCTCCTTACCTCTATTCTTCCCTATTTGCAAATCTCTCCTTGTTCCTGTTCGTAAGAGATCTAAAATTCTCCAGCCAGAAGCAACTGCCTCCATTTTCCCGGTTCGGCTGACAAGATCCGCCAGCTGGGGAATAGGCATGGGTAGGGGATGTCAAACCGCCTCTCCTTCCCACTCCTTTATACCTTCCTTCTTCTTTTCGCCTCACTTCTTCAACAACTTCGCCCTCCGCCCCCTATCCTAGCTTCGCCTTTTCCGCCTCTGTGTCGCCTCCTTCTTCACCTTTTCTCTTCACCTCAACGCACTAGAACTAAATTTGTGCATGTGCTTGAGAGCGCCTTTTTTTCCTCCCTTTTTTTGTCCGACTTGCACATCCACATGGTGTGTAGGAGAGTGTCTTTTTTTGAACGTGTACTTCATCTCAACAGACCTTCACGCACACACGAAACTTGAGAGTTTTGGTCGATGATGTGGATTGTCAACTCTTCTGCTGTCAGTGTTCCTGATAAAAACAAAACTTTTGGTGTTGAAGAGTGTGCTATTTTATTCGAAGCCAAGTTAAAATCGAGGATATAAATAAATCGGACGTCCTGTTTACTGCTTTAAATTAAACTTGCCTCTGCGTGGTGCCATTTCCTCCACATCACGTATGTGCGGGACTGCACAGTGGGTCAATTAAAACAAGGAATAACTGAATGCTTATATTTTAATGTCAGTTTTTAACATATAGAATGCATCTTTCTTTATTCCTTTGCTCCGCATTCTTTGCAATGGTTCTTTGTCATCAAGTGAAACACAAACCCTTTTATTCTGTAGGAAAAAGCAGATGGAATTTAGCTCGGAAGATACAAACTTAAATTTCCATGCTAACACACTTAATCGTAAGTTTTAAATATATTTTGACCGATTTTTTTTCAAGAGCTAACTAGTATGGCTGCTACATCCATGGGCAATCTGCCTCCGCCGTCATCGGTGAGGGAACTCTCCCCCTGTTGCCTTTGTTCTAACGGTAATCCAATCAGGTTGGAGACGTCTTGAACATCTCTAAGGCGTTTCTTTGACACTAATAGTGATTATTTGAACTGTGAATTGGTGGTCAAGTCGGCTGTGGGCAAAGAAGTGAACTGTTTACCTCCTGCATAATTTTGCAGCTCCAAAATGGGTTATAGGTAAGCGTCCGGAAGTAAAAAAATGTTCCACACACCCACAGACATATTGTTCAGTTCACTTCGCACATGAATCCGAGGCCTTTTGACCATAATTTCAACCAGTGGACGTGAACCTGGTTTCTTTAAAAACTTTCCTATTGTATTACCTGACTCTTGTCATCAGTTTCTCTTAATGCTCCAGCAATTCAAATAAGTTAACATGAAAAATCACGAAATAAAGAAACCTTACTTAGGCTGAAATGCGTTTTGATGCCTGTTGATGTTTCGTAAATCCGCGTCGAATGCTGCCCAAATCGGGCCTGAAATTGCATAAAATACTAGCCGTTTTAACTGCCATAATACTCCCTTGACAACTTTCTCTGAAAGTCGTCTCGCAAAATTACTGGCACTGACCAACAACTCAATTTCAGCTTTACAATTCTTTCAAGTTTATGATAAATAAATTCAGGCGTATCAGCATGCAATCATAAATGGGATATGTCTTGTCAAAAAACCTTTCGACGGGGCATTTGTCCCAACAAAGTGCGCCTTTGTGTGACCAGTTTTCGCTCACGTATTCACATGATCCGGGGTTGACCGATTGGCTAATTGACTGACCAATCGATTGATCGAATCGATAGATCGTCTCCACATTGTCGATCAGCCTTTATCCTTCGAGATCTGTCAGTAGTTTAGGCGGGTGTGTTATTTAATGGAGCAATAAAACATTCTTTTATTGTCGATAAAAGGAAACAGACGGAGCTTCTGCGAGAGGTCTCTCCACTTGGTATCTCGTTAACCCATCGGCAGACACTACTACAGTGACAAAACTTTGTCAAAAGTTGTTTTTGATTTACTTTAATGTAGGTTTGAACAAGTTAAAAGGTATTTTAGTTTAGG